TTCTTTGCTCTCAGCTTTCTTTTTTCTAACTGTCACTTTCTAGTGATGAAACTTTTGTCAGCTCAGTAGATGTTCAGGTAGAGAAGGAAGGCAATTTTACTATTAAAAATGGAGAGATTGAAAGCTGAGCATTTAACAGCTGTCAGCATGAGAGAAAAATCACTTCTTCGTATTAACTAAAACAAAAATTTATTTCTTCCAGTATAATTCCTGGTTTATAGTTTCTTCACAAAGTGATGGTTTTGTGTCCTAAGAGAATTCAGTAAAATGAACAGTTGTGTTGCAGTGATGACACTTTACCTGAGAACATTTGGCTGACTGTTGCCTGGAGTGCAGTATAAATATATTCAACAGTCCACATTGCTTTAAATTACTGCCTTCCTATAAAATAAGACTACTTAGTAGATCTGCTGTCTCTCTGTATGTTTATTTTAGTAATTGAATTAAGGTTCATTAATGGCTGGTTTTGTGAGCCGTTGCAGGAACCCACTGCGTTTTGTTCCTTCCTGTGTTGCAAAGAGTTGTTTGAGGATTTTCTGTCATTTTTTTCCCCCCATGTTAGCAGATTGATTGCAGTGAAGTCACAGTGGATGGGCAGAAAGCAAAATCTGACCTGTCCAGACTGGGAGATGAAAGGAAGTACTTTACACTCAGATGTGGAAGCCAGTTAACATCAGCTGTGTTAATACAATAAAATGAGTACTTCAGGGGGAAAAAAATCCTATGGAAAATCAAGTAAAGGAAAAAAAAAAAGCTGAAGGAGTGATAGATAAATAAATATGACTGAGGCTACACACACTCCTGGTACATGTTTCTCCTGGGGCATCTCTAAGCAAAGTTGAATAACATATCTGTCTTATCTTTAAATATAGCCAGTATAGGTGGTCCTTAGGCCATGCCTTGAAAATGACAAACCTTTATAAAAATACTATTACTAGTATTAAATACACTGCCAAGCTGTTCATCGCTCCATACTGCAGCATAAGACCAGGAGACAAGACAGTAAGTTTTAATAAATGTTTTGATACTGCTGTCCTGTAACCTCAATCATCTTCTCCTTTTGTTTGCTTACAGAATGTGTATGCTTTGCTAATGCACATCTTTTCTGTTTCATAAAAGCAGATCAGATTTGTCAGAGCAAAACTGCTGTATGAACAGTGGAAACAAAGAATTTCCATATTTGTAATCCCCTCTTTTGTTTTCTCTTACAACATTCGTTACTGTAAAAGCTGGATAGTTGGTGGATTAAAAAAAAAAAGAAACAAAAATAGAAACAAGACTGTTGGTTTTGGCAGTATGTTTTTGTAAACAAGTGGCCTAAATTGAAGCAGAAATTCTAATGGGAAAAAGGAAGAGAACCAGAAGACTTGAAAATACAGCACAGAGCAGAGTCCCCACCAGATGGTATTTTTAATAAATTTATCAAGCGGATATGAAAGATGATAATGAACATTCAAAATAGGGAGTGGCAGACCCCCCTAGAGAGAAGGAACAGTATGGCACCTTCTGCACACTGCAATTAGTTAGAATCACTTTCTAATCAACCGTTGTAGGGAAGACCACCGAGTTATATTAAAAACACACTAAGGCGGTTTCTGTGCGGTTGTTAAGGAGTTTGACTAATCAGGGTAACATCTTCTTAGGAGGTCACGGATTAGTGCAGAAATCTAAATGTGTGAAGGAGCAGGATGATGCTCAGAGGGCGTACAGGTAAAATACTGGATGAACTGAGCTGTACTGTGTTCAATTAATGCCTTACATAGCTCAGAGGGTGTCCAGAATATGCCACAGGGCCTCAACATGAACACTGATTTTGACACTTCCTCTTTTACTTGGTTTTTTTAACCTAGATTTCAGTAGCTTCCTCTTCCTACAAAAAGCAGCAATATATAGAAGATGCTTTAATGCCTATGTAAAATGGATACTCAAAGAAGTTCCCTTACTGCCAGGGAAGAGGGGAAGAAAAGGAAGCCAAGGCAAACTTTATTTCGATGCCAGTACTCTTAGTTTGCATTGTTAGTCTTTGCTTTATTCAGATTGTTCCCAGTGAAGTACTTCTAATGTCTACCACCTGCTCCCCGTAAGAATCTGGGAATTTCTGAATGTCTCTTTTCAGTAATAGGGAATCAAGAGGTTTCTAGAATGATAATATGGTGGGTTTAGTAATTTTTTATGAGCAAACAGAGATGATAGTATATCTGATAGTGCAGTAGATTTTTCAGAAACCATTGCCTTTCCACTGCCTTGAATTATTACTTGGCAACAAGCTTGCACTTTTTTCCCCTCTGTGTTTTATGGTGTTTTGGTTGGTTGGTGGTTTTCTTAAGATCATGCTCCTGACACCACTCGCACACTTAAAACACAGAATCCTAGCTCTTCGTGGAAAATTATCACTTTTTTGGGTGCTGGAGACTCTTACAATTAGCTCTGAAATTTCATATAGCTATATTTCAGCCATTTTCAGATGTTGTAGTATTTTAAATACATATTTTACAGACAACTATTGAAAGTATGTAATTAAGTTATCAGTGTGCAGTGGGCTTAAAGTGGTACATCTGCATCTGTACTATACATCATTTGTTTTCTCGTGAAAATTCAAATAGTGTTGGTAATATGTCTTCTGTATTTCTAGTTTTTTTGTGCCATTCTTGGTTTGGCTTGTTTGTCATTCTTTTCCTGATTTTCAGAAATGTTTGGCTTGACATATTGTGAATTTGGAAATTTTGTTAAATTGATCATTGTCATTCAGATAGTTTTTGGTAACTTATTTCTTCCTCTCTCTTTTAAATTGCATTACTACACAGATTGGTTGTCCTTCATCAGAGTTGACACACCAAATCTTAGCTTTTTTTTAATACAGCCTGTGCTGAGAGAATTTTTGTTATCATTTAGATAAGACAATCAGTGCTTTTAACATTTTCCCCCAAAAAACCCCAAAGGCTCAACAGGCAACCTGGATTTTCACATGTTCAGATAGCATAATTTTTCACCCTTGTTCATAGTAATTTTTTGATAGAGAGAATAGAGAGTGACATAGATGTTTGAGAAGTTGAGGAGGTTAGCTAAAAGCTGAGCTTTTTAGGAAAATGCTGGACCTGACTAGGGCATCTTAAATAGCCCTTTTTTTTTTTATGTTCATCTGTCATCTTGCTGGAAGGTGACGTTCAAAAAACTTGGGATTCTCTCTGAATTACAAACAGAAACAAAGTACCACACTAAGTCTTGAAGCACTTGTAAAAGAGTGCTGGAAAAGTACTGTATGCACAAGCAAACACACCACCTTCTACAGCGTGCTCCCAGAGGAGCTGCTGTTGTCTTGATCTTTGATGAAATTGCTGAAATTACATCAAGCCCTAACTACACTATGAATTCTGTTTGATTTGAAAGGAAGGGGGAAATTACTTGGCATTGGATTTAAATCAGATTGAGCAGGACTAAGTACGTACAAGAAGAGTATTCCTCTCCTCGGAAAGTTTTCTATAAACCAACACTAAAGTTACATCCTTTGCTAAAGAAGAATAACTCCCAATATTACACTTCTTTTATTGCCGAATACGTAATATTCCCCTGCTTCTAAAAATGACTAGTAAAGGGTTACATTATCTAATTCAGTTTATAACAGCAGTTTCCACGCTAGAGCATTCAATTTTGGATGGACCAGGGAGAAGGAAGAACTGAAGTTGGATGATGCTGACACACGGACCACAGTGTCGGATATGTACACTGACTGCAAGAGGGGTTGTAGAGGTGAAAGAAAGAGTTCATTGTAGATGTTGCAGCACAAGGTAGCAGTTAGCACTGGCCTGTGCAATTAGAATTGTAATCTTACATTTTTTTAACTGAAACTCCCTTCTTCTTGTCATGGTTTTTCCAGGAATGCTTTTACTAATTGGAAAATTCTTTGAGTTCCCTAACTTGCTCATTTTCCCTGTAATATTCAAATAACTGCATATAAGGTGAATGAAGGAAGGCAAGTCTGATATTCTGCAGTAATACCTTTGACTTTCTTTGGCGTAGCAGGCTACTGCATGCCGGCATTTTTTATGGCTGCATATAGGATAGAAAAAAGCATTATCCAGCATAGATCTTCGATGAAATTAACATGGGGGGGGCAGGGGGGAAGTACTGTATAATTCCATCACTGTCTCCTGGAGGAAAATCATTATCCTGTGTTTTGGCCTTTCTTTTTTCAAGAGGATGGGTTCTAAGTAGTTTCTTTTCTTTTGCTGTTTGGATATTATAATTTCTTTTTTGTGGCATTCAGTCATACCGTTTTCCTGACTCTTGACTGAATGCGAAATACTTCTGCACTTGCTGTTCCATTTTTGTGGCAAACCTGTTGATCTCTCCTTCCCTCTCGTAGTCCAATGCTTGTATTGAAGGATTTTGTAAGTATTAAAAAGCATTTCCATTTTCTAAATTCTGGGGGGCAATTTCTAATCACAGTCAGAGATACTGTCAGAAGTACCAACAGATATGTGTTGAGAATAGTCTGCTGAGCTGTGAGACTTCAAGCCCTGATTTCAGAGAATTTGAGTCCTGACTTCCCACAGTCAACATCAGTGCTTTAAACTATCTCCCGCTTATTTCTCTCTCTTTCTCGCGCGCTCTCTCCTTTTTTTCTTCTTTCTTTTTTTCTTTTTTTTGGGGAGGAGGGAGGTTTCATCATGAAAACAGAAAGAAATTGTTTGAAAATTTCAAAAGTTTTACTGGACAAGAATTTTTTCCCAATTGTATTAAAAGAGTGCTTTCATATCACCAAGACAGAAATCCATCTGTTAATTTACCAAGCTATTCCAGGACCAATGCTATAAAAATTATCTGTACCACTTGATTCTGCTTCATAGTTCATGTTAAATAAGAGTTAAATTTCCATGTGTTGATCATACTTTCATGCTTTTTTTTTTTCTTTTTCCCAATTCTTTGCCAGAAATAAAGACCACTGGTATCTGAACTGTTTTCTGACTTTACGTCTGTTGTCTTTGTGTTTTAATTCACAGTTCCCACTGAAAATGTTGCAACAATTGCAGACTGTGCCAGTGTGATTGAGGGTGTAAGTCGCAGTCGCAATGCCTTGTTGAATGGAGACACAAAAAACTATGATTGGGATTCTGGGTACACGTGCCATCAGCTTGGGAGCGGAGCTATTGTAGTACAGCTAGCACAGCCCTACATGATTGGATCAATACGGTAAGAGGGTTTATTTTTCTCTAAATTAAGGGCAACAGTGAAACTTCTGCTGAGCAGTTATTTTCTTTAGAATATGACATTTGGAAGCGGCGGTAATTAGGGGACTAGTTTAGTAGTTGTCATTTGGCTTCTTACTTCAGTATAATGGGCATCTTAAAAATTAAATGTGTGAATTATATGTTGAGATACAGCAGTGCAATTCCAGAAAATACTACATTTCAGAGGCATAATAATAGTAATAGTCAAATTGTAAGATTAAAGGTATATACTTACATTAAAATAGAAATTTAATTGCAGCCTCACTTGTGGTCAAAGCAGGTGCCGTTCCTCATATCCACCTCATTGTGAAAACAGAAACATTATTGAAGAAAGCCATCATCTCGAGTCAGCCAGGTTTCCTTTTCACTATACAATTAGTACCAGCTCTTACTTGAACATGGAGTGTATAATAAGGGTGCAGTAACCTGAATATTGCTTTACAGTGTTGGATTAATGAATGTGTTTAGATCTGGATTGAAGTTCATTGGGCTATTTCTATGGTGAATGTCTGTACATATATGAAGAACAAACTTTTGGCTAATGTAGAAACTTTGGAAATAGATTAGAGAGCGGGATTGTTCACAGGTGAAGACAAAAATATTCTTGACAACTTCAGATTCTCTGACTGTAAATGTTTTTTTGTTTCATAAAATCAGACATACAAAACCTTGTCTTAATGGCTTCCCGTTCTTTGTAAATTTAGAAAATGTTGTCAGGGACTTAATTTGTATTCTCTGTGACAATGAAAAAAAAGAGAAAGGTTTCTGAAGTTAGAGTACCAGTGAGCAAAGGTTGAAACCCCAGATGAGGTACTGGCTCGCAACAGAGACCATGCACATAGGTACGTATTGCTGGGAACTGGCTCGGTGCCATCCGCCTGATAGAGTTGCCTCTTCAAACTGACTGATGAGCAAGTGAGACTTGAAAGCTCTTTTATAACTGCCGATTTCTGTTTTGTGTGTTTTGGTTTTGGCTTGTGGCATTGTTATGATGGTTATAAAACTTTGAAGATAAAGTTTAAAATCAGACATCCAGGCAAATCTCTAACCTAACAAAAGTACTGTTTTGTCTGTATGCTAGCTATACCTGTTATGCATAATGCAAGTCTGGCATTGTTCTCACTGTGTGAAACAAGTTGAATAAGTATAGTTGGCAGCTTTCCACTCTCAAGGTTTTATGCTTTTGAGTTTGGTGTTTTTAATGTTCAATTAAGTATTGCATCTCAAGTAGAAAACCAGGAAGACACAGTACTCAGATTTCTTAAAAGAGGTAATTAAAAATGTAATTACATCATTTTCATGCCACTTCAAACTTAAATTTAAGTAGCAGCAGAAGCTTTGGCCACATGAAGGAGTAAGAGAAGAATGTATTAAGTAAAATGCATAGTTTCTAAGTTCATAGTCTCTGTCTTCCTATCTTACTGTTTTCAGCTATCTTTCAAGCGGTGAATCATACCATCTTTTCAAGTCAGTGCAAAAAATTTACTTTCCTGTATTAAATACTATGCTAGTGTTTATTCTTGAGCAGAAGATTTTTAATAAGTCTCATTATTAAATAGTGTGTTAGGTGAACTAGACTTTTGGTTGCCAAGAAATGATAACTGTATAATCGGCAAGTGTGTAGAGCAAGATAAAAAAACCCCAAACATTACATAATTTGAAACTAATAGGCATTTAGTGATTTATGTGGTATTGCATTGTACAGATACAGGTCAGAATCTCACCTTTCTTTGACAGCTTTCCTGCATGTGTAGTACAAACAAGATGAATAGCTTGCCTTAAAAAACAGTAATAAACATCATCATCTAGGGTATCTTCTGACAGAGGAGACTACCTGCATTGCCTAGAGACAGAAATGCTAGCACTATGTCATCTTTTCCTTTTCGTGTTCTGCCTAGCAGAACAAGTGTTTTGAGTTGCAGCCATGTCTGTTGCAGATCATGGGCAGCCAAGGGAAAGATGCCCCTTCGAGTGGGGAAGCAAGGTTTCACTATGTGGCAGCTACAGCTTTGGCAAGGGTCTAGAACGTGTCCTGTACTGTGCAATGCTAAAGATGGTGACAATGGTCTCTTTATTTAGCACCAGGAAATCTGTGACTGGTACAGAAATCAAATTACATATAAACGTAGATTAGAGCAAAAAGTCTTAATATTTCATCTTAATGAAAGCAAGAGATTTTTTTGAACAGAATGCCCTTCACAACTGGTTGAACTGTATTCACTGCCTGTTTTCCTGCTGTTTGCTTGCTTGAAAACTCCCTTGATCTCACCCTCCCACCTAATAGAAAAAAATTTCCAGGAGCATTTTCTTTAGGCTGGCTGTACACCGTGACTGCAGAATGACATGAATTGCTCTACCCGCAGAAACTGAGTCATTAGACCCGTGGGTTTGGATTCTAAATTAATAATTAGGAATTAAAGTACGTATCTTTTAAGTTCAGAGACATGAATGTGCCATTGAATAGATTTGTATCAGACAGAGTAAATATATGAGCCTTTGAAAAAATGGTAGTAGCTGCTTTTAGTCTATAGAAATCGGAATACCACTGGAGAGAGTCTCCAAGTCAGAACATGTTACCATGGCAACTAAATTCTGAGTATGAAAAAAGAATTTTGGTACTCAAATATGCACTAAAAATGCATAGCGACCTTAATGTTTCAGGAGTGTATCTTGTATGCATGCTTTCTGCAGAAGTCATCCCATTGTCTTAGAATCTTAGAACCATTCAGGTTGGAAGGGACTTGAGGAAGACATCTAGCCCAGCCTGTTCCTCAAAGGAGGGTCAGCTATGAAGAAAGACTCAAGGCTTTATGCACTCAGGTCTTGAAAACCTCCAAGGAAGGAAATTCCACAACTTCTCTCGGTAACCTGTTCCAATGTTTAGTTATCCTCACAGTGTACATGTTTTTGTTTCCTTTTCATGCGGTTCTTGTTTTGCCTCTAGTCCATCCGGAACATCCTGTTTCAATTTTTGACTGTTGTCTTTTGTTTTTCCCGTTGTGCACCTCAGTAAAGAGCCTGGCTCAGCCTTTTTGATAACCTGCTCTCAGGTATTGAAAAGTACTGTTAGCTTCCTCCCCAACCCCAAGCCTTTTAGGCTAAACAAGCCAATTTTCTCAGCCTCTTGCACAGTGCATGTGCTTCAACCTCCCGACCATCTTGCTGGTCCTCTGCTGGACTTGCTCAGATCTATCAATGTTGTATTTGGGCCCAAAATGGGATGCAGTATGCCGGCTGTGATTTAAGTATCAAGTAAAGGAGAATCATCTCTTTCCCTTGTTCTGCTGGCTCAGTTCCTGTTGCTACAGCTCCATATGCTGCTAGCCTTCATTGCTGAGAGGGCACACAGGCAACTAATGGCATCTTCTGTTCAATATGACTCCCATGTCCTTTTTAGCACAGTCAGACTGTAGCATTTACTACTGCGGTGGATTAGTCTGTGTGAGGTACAGGATTTTGCTTTTGATCTTGTTGGATTTCATGAGATTCTTTTTTGCCCATGCCCTTAGTCTTCCCAGAGGCTGGCAATCAGTCCTCCTGAGTGTATCAGTTGCACCCCACAGTTTGCTGTCATCTGCAAGCTTGATGAGAGCTCATTCTATTTCCTTGTCCAGGTCGCTGATAAAGATACTAAACAGGATAGGTCCCAGAGTAGACTCTGGAGGAACTCCTCTTGCATCCAGTCTCTGGGTGGATGATGAACTGTTAAGCACTGCCTGTTGAACTAAACAATCTAGATAATTTTTACCTGCATTGTAGTCTACCCATCTAAACTGTAACATCCCAACTTGGATACAGGGATGCTATGGGAGACAATGTTGAAACCTTAGAATCGTAGAATCATAGAATCACTTGAGGCCTTCCTCTCGTCCTATCACTTGTTACTTCGGAGAAGAGACCGACACCCACCCCTCCCTGGGCAGCCTGTTCCAATGTTTCACCACTCTTTCAGTAAAGAAATTTTT